CCCCCCCCCCCGCAGCGCCTCAGGTGACTGCAGCTGCTGGGGCGCTTGGTGGTGACACCGCAGAGGCAGTCAGGGGACATGGGGATGGAGGGACCTACCCTGGTGCCCGTCGGAGGTGCAGTGGCAATGACTTAGGTGGGACCATGGGGGAGACTTTTTGATTTTTTTTCTCTGGGGTTGATGAGGTAGAGATACAGTGAAGCCCTTCGAAACTGGGGGCTCCTGTCGCAAGGCGTTTCAGTTGGATTATTTTCTCTGAAGTTCTCCAGCCTTGCTCCGTGGGAAAAGAGCAGAAAATCCACGGGGGCGGAGATAATGTCGAAAAAGCTGTTGGTCCTGATAGTGCGAGAAACCTTCATGGAAAAAAGTAAACCTTGTCCCCTAATTTGGCTTGATGGGGTAGCTTTGAAAGGTGGGCCTTTTCCAGAACCCCAGAAGCTGCCCATTCAAAGGAGATGAAATGTCAGGTGGGAGTTGTTTAAAGAGGGAGAAATACTATAGTGTAAGTGTTTAATGAAAAAAAAAAAGCGCCAGCATTTCATACTTAAAAAAAAAAAATCTCTTCTATATATCTAGTTCATCAGTATCTGTCTGAGACTGCCGGCTGTGGGAGCAAAGGAGCAGTTCAGATGTTTGAGGAACTGGTGGGCTTGTAGCTCTTACCTTAAACCAGCATTTCCTAAATAAACGCTGTGATGTGCTCACCTTGTGGTGGACTCCGAACTACTGAGACCCAGGCTGCAGGGATGATTGCTTCTGAGTCTGGTTGTGAAATGCTCTGGTTAGAAGGAAGCTGGTAGGGAAGAGGCTTTAAGGATCTATTTTCAGAAGCCCAGTGTCATGCCTTTCCCTGCAGTGTGCATACATTCTTGTTGTCTGAAGAATGCAGCTCTGTTCAGTGTAGGGTGCAGTTATCAGACTGCAGGTCGTTGTTAAGCAGAATTGGAGCTGCTTCCACTACCAGCTTCCCACTTCCTGCAGCAGAGCTTGTCCTCCTGGCCTTGGAAGATAGCCCGTCTCAGAAGGTGGCTTTTAGGCAGTGAGTCTATTTGAACAGAATGGGGACAAGCTGGCCAGCTCTGGGCTTATCTTAAACAGCTTGTGAGTCTCTGGTGAGGAGGAAGGTCTTGGGTCATTTTCCTGAACTAGTCTCAGAAACTGATCTGGTCTTCAGGACCAGAGATGAATTTGGACTCATCAAAGCACTTGAGACTCTTCAGTCTTGTCTTCCTTTGAACTGTTCATTTCTGTAGAAAAGAGTAGAGACAATAATGATTCCATCACTAGCCGTGACTGTGGCCTTTCTGATCTGAAAGTGGTGAGGCTGTGCCAGTCCAAGGTGAGCCTGGCTGC